AAAACTAAAGCAGACGCCAAGCAGGGTTATTACTTAAATATTAAGGCGCATTTTCCTATAAAGACTCATGACTATTTGAGTGATTTGCCACCAGCTGTAGAAACTATTGTGGTAAAAAGGAATTGGTTATGTCCTTATACTACTAAGCTTGTAGATACCTTGGATAGCGGACACTTTTTAGAAACAGAAAAATTAGTTCTACACCTTGGACTGCGAAAAGATTATGTTATTCACTACCAGGAGCTACAATATTATATAAAATTAGGTATGGTTGTTGACAAAGTTACAGAAATCTTATCATTTAACCAAACTAACTGGCTTGAACCTTATATTTTATTTAATACGGAGAAACGAAATGAAGCTAAAAAAGATGGCAATACATTTCTAAGTAATTTCTTTAAACTTATAAACAATTCAGTCTATGGTAAGACTATAGAGAATGTTTGTAAATACCAGGATGTTAAGCTCATGGCCATGAATAATGAGCAAGATGAGAAGAAGTTTATTAAACAAGTTCGCAAGCCCTCTTTTAAGTATGCTCGACTACTTGGAAATACTTTAGTAGGAGCGCATATGGGAAAAGCTAGTGTAACTCTCAACAAGTCTATCATAGTTGGCGCATCTGTTTTGGGACTTAGCAAGCTTCTTATGTATCGCTTCTAGTATGGGTATATAAAAGAAAAATATGAAGATAAAGCTCGTTTTGGTTATATGGACACAGATTCATTCATATACCATGTTGAAACTGAGAATATATATAAGGATATGAATGAGCGTCCCGATCTTTTTAACCTTAATAGAGATCCAACTATTGGAAAATTCAAGGATAAAACTCCTAATAATGTTATTACAGAGTCTATTCATATCTGGGCAAAATCATATCACTATGTCTTGGCAGATAAGTCTATACAGTCTAAGCACAAGGGAGTTAGTAAAAAGAGCATGAGTGAAATGGCTGAGAAAGAATATCCAAAAAGTAAATCTCCAATGACTCAAGTATATCGGGACTGTCTATTTGGAAAAAAAGTATTCTATGCCAAGAATGTAGGCATCCGATCGAAAGACCATATCTTATCCTTGGTTGAATCAGAGAAAAAGACGCTTTGTCCTATAGATACTAAGCGTTAGATATTATCTGATGGAGTTTCATCTCTGCCTTATGGTCATTGGCACATCAAAGTATATAAGAATTTGGTCAGAAATGGTGTTCTCCATGCAGAAGCTGAACAAAGAGCCATGAGATGCAGACTCATAGAAAGATAGATAGATAAATTACAATGCCTACATAGTTAAAATATTATTTTTTAAATAAAAAAAATATTACTATCTTTTCATGATTGCAAGAAGACAGGATTGGTATCTGTTATCTCTGGCATTGTATCAGAATCTTCTTGCTCATCTGTTATCTCTGTATCAGAATCAAAGAAAGATGGGCGTGGTATAGAATGCGCCAACTTAAATTCTAATTGACTTATTTTAGATTTAAGAGAAAGAATTGTGATCTTATTAGAGAATAAAGCTTCTTGCGCCAAGGTTCGTTCAGAAGTAATTCGGGATCTAAGCTTAGTATTTACATCATTTAGCTGGTTAATCTTATTTTCAATATAAGCATAGGTATGATTAAAACTCCTCTCTTTCTCTAAATATTTATCTTGCAGGGCTTTATATTCATTAGCAAGATCAGAAGCAGTTTTGATGCAACTGTGCAATGCTTTCTCAAGCTCTGATTCACGAACGCTACTTTTTTCTTGCATGCTCGAAAAAAGATTTTTACTTAATTTATTGTTAGTTAGCTCAACTGAACACTGTTGGTCTGGCTTCGAGTGATTTATCACGAGAAAGCAGGGCCGATGATCTGAGAGGGTGTGTTTATCTAGCAAACCCCCAACTGCTCTCACATCTTCAATATCTCTTAAGGTATACACATTAGACATAATTTTTTTGGTTTAGTATTTATCAGAAATCATCAAAGATATTCAATAATATTCAATAATATTCGATAATATTTAATAATTATTGATTAATTATTTTTGATAATTTTCAATAATTTTCAATAATGGATTATTTATCTAAAGAGTATTACCGTGCAGGTGCCACCTATTTATCACCTGAAGTTCTTGAAGAAATTCGTAATTCACGTGGAAAAATTAAAAATGCTATAACAACAATGACAAAAAAACATCACATTTCAAGCCAGTGAGTTTATAAGATTTGGCGTAGATGTGCAATGAGGCAACCTGATCATATCCAACAGGATGAGCCAAAGAACCAAAGCCCAAGTAGTTCTACTATTACTTCTTTGAGTCAAGCCAATATATTACAAGACACTCTATCAGATATCAACAATATTTCTGATAGCAAGAAAAAAAAGACTAAAGAAAAGAACCATATTGAATCCTTCTCTAAAGATGTTTTGGATTTCTATAAGAGAGCTAATAATGATATAGAAAAAGTTAGAGCATCCGGTCGTGCTCTTATTTCCGCCTTCTTGTGATTTCATCACTCAAAGTCAAATTAATTGGTATTCAAAAAGGTAACTAACTATAGATTAACTAAATGTCTTTTTTCGAGCTTGCGAGAAAAAAGGGTGTCAGTCTTAGTTAGACTTTCATATCGGTCAAGCAAATTATTATAGTATCCTATAATTTCCAAATTCGATTGAATACTAGAAAATAATGCTTCTTCAAGCTCTTTTATATGAATTAATATATCTTCACAGTTCATACATTTTTTTTTATTGGTATTGGGTAATCTCATCCACTATTATAAACTGAAAGTGAAATAGTAATAGTTTTTCCATTAACTGATGCGGTAAACTCACCCTTTACTATAGGCTCCCAGCCTGCCTGATGCTGCCATCTAGTACCAAGAATAAATAATGATATATCCTTACCATTGCTATCTTTTTCTGTTGGTAAAACTGAAAACTCATCTGAAATTGTTAAAGTATTATTTCCAATATCTATAGTAATAGGTATATCAGAAAAGGTTCCAATGGATTGTTTTTCTTCTACAGCGCCTATTAGTCTATAAACCTTTTTCCTGTCTATTTTCAAACCAAAATATTTTATAAAATGGTTTGCGATATTTTCAGAAATATGTGACCCATCTGAACCTGTATCAAGTAAGGCATG